ATTCATTTTATTTATAACCAAAGGGAAAGTAATATTTAATTGCCTAAATTAAAGTATCCATTGGTGAAAATTTGAGCAAAGGTGCATTTTTCTTTTTCCTAAATATACTGAAGTTTCAGGGCCACACATGACATAAATCACTGATTGATTGCATTTAAAGAATCCAAAAATAAGCTATCCTTGTGGAATAACAATACTGCTGAAGTTTATAAAGCACTTATTCTGTTAGCAGATAGAATGATATGTTGACACAAGGCTAGCAACTGCTTTCCATATGACACATGTCACCATTTCCCACCATTCCTAGTCCCTAGACATTTGCATACTTATGGTGAAAGTGTTTTGGAAAAAGAATGAATGGCATTTCTTCTAAAAGCAATCCAAAGAACTTGCTCTTGGGAATATGAAAGAGTTTGTACTATACTCAGACCCAGCTTAATATTCTTGTAGAAAAGTTTTTGAATAAGTGGGCAAAGAGGAATATGTCAGCTGTTGTTTTTAAATATATTCAAGATTTTAGCTCCTTGACCCCATCAAAAAGAATTATAAGTAGTCTGGTGGGCTGAACTTTGGACACACATTGTACTGTCTGTTGTCATTGATAAAGAAAACAGGTGCATCACTAGCTGCATTCAAGAAAAAAACCAAAGCAAAACATTTAAGCAATATATTAATAGTAATATTTGTACTATCTTTACAATTCCAGCAACTCAACATTTTAAAGTCCTTCCTAAACTACATATTTTACTGAGCTGATTGATGTTCCATCTGTATTTCATGTAATTTGCAACTAACGAAGAATAGTTGAATGGTGCTTATCTGCTCAGGAGTAAAGTCATTAAAACCAGAAACCAATGGTAATATGAATGAATATTCTAAACTATTGTGGAAAAAAGTAATACAACAGACTTATTAATCATCTCCTCTTATGAAAACAAAATTTAGTATTTGGGCCTAAAAGCTAATTAATACTCTCCAAATTGAAAACTTTTTTTCATGATTACTTTAAAATTTTCTCATTTAAATAAAGAGCTTTAGACATTTGTGTTTGTTGTTTTGTGTTTTTTGTTTTGTTTTGTTTTGTTTTGTTAATCCTTACCAGAGGATATTTTTTCCATTGATTTTAGAAAGAGTGTAAGGGAGGGGTAAGGGGAGAGAGGCAGAGAGAGAGAAATATTGATGTGAAAGAGTCACATCAATGACTGCTTCCCATATGCACGCCAGGGACCCGCAACCCAAGTTCGATGCCCATGACCGGGAATTGAACCTACGATTTTTCGGTGTGCAGGCCATTGCTCAAACTATTGAGCCGTGCCAGCCAGGGTAGCTATTTGATTTTTACCTTATAAAACCAAAATGAATATCTTTCATAGTTCTTCAAACTTTAGAGACTACATGTTCTATTTTTTAAAAACTGAGGAATGTGATTTTTTTGTCTGTTTCATGAAAATTTTTGAGAATTGACTTCTGCTATCCTCTATACTGTTAGGGAATATTACATCTAACATTTCTCACATTTATGCTGCTTCTTTAGTAAACACTCCAATACCAACTAACTGATAAATCCAATAATTGATAAATTTTTTCCCTCATGTCCCTTTCCTGTCCTAAGACCCCATCCAAGATATCATGTTACATTTGTAGTTATGGCTCCTTAGGCGCTTCTTGGTTGTGACTATTTCTCAGACTTTCTTTGTGTTTAATGACCATAGTAGTCTCGAAGAGTGCTGGTCATAGATTTTATTGATCATCCCTTAATTGAGATTTGTGCAATATTTTCCTAATGTTTAGACGGGGAGAATGTGTTTTGGGGAGGAAAACCATAGATGTAAAATTTTACTTACATCCCATCCTATCAGAAGAACATACTGTCAATAGGAATTATTGCTGTTGATGTTGACCTTAATCACCTGGCTTTAGGTAGTGTGATTAAGGTTCTCAAGTTTCTCCATTGTACAGTTAGTTCTCTTTTTGCTTTCCCTTTCCACTCTGGATTCTTTGGAAGAAAGTTGCTAAATACAGGCCACACTTAAGAAGAGGGAAATTTCTCTCCACTTCCTTAAGAAAGGAGTGTCTCCATAAATATTTGAAATCTTCCTGCACGGCATGTTGATCCGTTCATTTATTTGTTCAGTCATTTATTTTTACCAGAATGGACTCAGATATATTTATTTTATACTTTGGGCTATAACCTAATGCTATCTTATTTATTTTTCTTGCTCAAATTGTTCTAGATTTGGCCACTGAGAGATTTTTCTGTTGGCTTTCTTTATCCCTTTGATAGATCCTCATTTGTGTGTGTGTGTGTGTGTTAGCATTTTCTTTCTGGCACTACCAGATGCTCTACATGTCTTGTATATTTCCTGCTTCAGTCCAAGAATCAGTTATTTCTCCAAGAATATGGTTCTTTTATTGAAAAATGGTATTACGAATTAGACCTGGTGGTAGTTGTGTTCATTGCTATTGTGGTGTCATTGTGTTTAAGTCCTCTCTGCTGCCAACTCTAATACATTACACCTGGATCATTCTTGCCTTGTTTACTTGTAATATATTTAGAGTGGGAGTTTATACTATATATGTGTGTGTGTCTGTGTGTGTGTGTAGTGTTTTTAGAATTAACGTGTAGGCCCATAGAAAATAAGTAATCAACTACAGTACAGTTCCTATGTACAGTTCCTTTTGCTTTTGGTCTTACAGGCTCCACTCATTTTCAGTTACTCAGGTCAGCAACTTACTCTCCCACCCCCTCCAGTGAGTGTTTCATACATTTGTAATGCATTTAGATTATTTTTTAGTATTTTGCCTTTCATCCTGTGGTCCTCCGACCTTCTAATTTGTTTTTTCATTTGCAATCATTAACATTCCCTCTATGCTGTGAAGTTCTATGGATTTTGACAAATGCTTAATGTCTTGTGTTCACCATTAAAATACCATACAGAATAGTTTCACCTCCCTAAAAGTTCCCCATGCTTTACTATTCAACTCCCTAACCCCTTCCAAAACCCTTGGAAAATTGTGCCTTTTTGAAACTCTAGATTGGGCGTAAGCATCTCCAGAAGTAGCCATTATAATCAAGGAATGGCAGATAAGGTATTTCTCTCATAAAGGAATTGATTGATTGATTGATTGATTGATTGATTGATTGGAGAGAGAGAAGAAGGGAGAAATAGAGAGAGAGGTTGATGTGTTGTTCCAATTATTTATGCATCCATTGTTTGATTCTTGTAAGTACCTGACTGAGAATTGAACACAGAACCTTGGCACACTGGGATGACACTCCAACCAACTGAGCTACCTGGCCAGGCCCATAAGGAATTTTTTTAAAACAGAGTACAGTTAAACATTTAATGTTTGCTGGTGTTGTGTTTCTTAGAGATCAGGATTTGTGAGCCTTTATTTTTAAAATTTATTTCCAGTTACAGTAGGCATAAAATATTATATTAGTTTCATGTGTACAGCATAGTGGTTAGACATTTATATGCTAAATGACCACCCTGATATGCCTAATACTCATCTGACTATGTGAGTCTTTATTTTTACCTTGCTGGTATTTACCTAAGCAAAATAAAGCAAACTATCTCAAATTGGAGGAAAAGATCATTAAAAGAGGAGGAAGATGATGAATGAATTTGAGAGGAAAAGGAGTGAATTGACAGGTCATATTGATTTTGTGTTTTTAATTTTCAAAATCTGCTTGAAAATATTTTCTTGAATCATGATTCAATGAATTTGAAATTGTTATATTTTATTCTAAATGGGGTCCATCCCCCCTTTCTCCTTCCTTTCTACCCTTCACCCTCTCCCCTTTTTTCTTCTTTACTTCCTCCTGCACAAATGTTTACTGAGTGGATATCTATTTTTTGCCAGGTACTATATAATAGATGCTGGAAAAACACACAGGTGAAAAGTTATCCATGTCCTCAGGGACTTTCCACATTATTTTTGAGGCAGAAAGATATGAAAGGACAATTACTATATATAGTAATTGTTCTATTGGTGCAATAGGCACATGCAGGAATAGGGGAGTAACTCTGTCTTGGAGGATCAGGGGAGGCAATAGAGATGACACCAGAATCTGAAGGAATGTTCATGTTTGAGACAGATAAATAAGTTTAGAGCATTCGAGGCAGGATGTGTAACATGTGAAAACATCTTGGCAGACAGGCAGAATGACAAAATTGAGGAGCTACCACTTAATTATAGCTGGAGAAGCAGTGTCAGTTGAGGTGATTGGAGATGGGATTAGGGCAGATCAAGTGGGCCAACTATGGCTCTTGAAGGGCCTTGAGTTTAGGTCATAGCCTTGGAATAGGGAGGAGGCCATCAAGGAGAGAACAAGGGTTTGGCATTTTGGAAAACCCACTTTGGCAGGGAACTGGTGGGAAGAAATAGGGAGCATATGGAACTTGATCCTAGAAAACTTCACAGTGGGCTATTACTGCAGTTGGGATGGCAGATTATGCGGGTCTGTTCTAGGTTAGTGACAGAAGGCACGGAGCAGCAAAGAAAAACGTGAGAACTATAATAATAAAAATAAGGAAAGTGAGAAGAGGAAGGAGGTAGTGAAGCAGTCCTGCAGGGTGAAGTTGAGAATGTTCTCTAAGTCCTACTAAACTTTATTCTCATTAAGGGAATGTGAAGCCTTGATGACAAAGAGGGGCTATTTGTGCAATTTTATATTGAATATTCTATTATTATGTCCAAGAACAAGTGCCAACATTTTCACAAATATGTTAACTCAGGAAGGAACATGGTCACGATATTTTTCTTATTAAGACATTAAATCTTATTAAAAGGAAAATGCAAAATAAAAAGAGTTTAGAGTTTGTGGCATGCCTATGACATGAAAATGAATTTAAACTTAGAACTCTCCTCTGTTTTAAGGATATTTTCATTGGGGTTTGCTGGACATTTAATTCATGGAGGCTAATGGATTCACCCATTTTGGTATTCACGTTTATTATAAGAGTTTAATCTGACATGAAATTTTTCTTTGGCAGGATGAATCTTTAAAGCAATTGCAGGTGGTTCACCAACCCTGGATTTTGCCAAGTGACACAGAAAGTGAAGGAGTGGAAGGAGAACAAGAGAAACGTGAGTAGAACCTACAATTTATTGACAAATTGCTTTTAGCCAGAGAAAATCTACAGTGAAGGTGTACCCCTTTCATAACATCAAACGAAGTCTGCAAAATTCAGACTTGATTAGGGAAAACATGCAAAGATAAGCTATACTTCAGGCATATAGATCTTGATTCAATGAGGTCATAATTGTGTTGCAGAGGACCATAAACTATCTTTCTGAAAACAGGTACAGTACCTTAAAAGGAGGAATTCTTCTTGAATACTAATATAAAATGTCCATTTGGAATGTGATCTTCTATAAATACAAAATTAGATCAATGATAACTTGTATTTTTTTAAAAATCAAAGTATGTTAGGATCAGTTCATTTTATATATGACATTATTAGCTAAATGAGTAAAAATATAGAGTTAGCCCTTAAACAACTCAGGGGTTAGGGGCGTCAGCCCCTGTGTGGTTGAAAATTTGCATATAATTTTTGACTCCTCCAAAACTTTACTAATAGCCTAGTGTTGACTACATGCCTTACAAATAGCTTTAACAGCCGATTAACACCTATTTTGTATGTTATATGTATTAAAGGTTGTATTTTTACAATAAAGTAAACTAAATAAGAGAAAATGTTATTAAGAAAATCATAAGAGAAAATACTGTTACAGTATTTACTGAAAAACCCCCGCATAAGTGGACCTGTGCAGTTCAAACTCATGTTGTTCAAGGCTTGACTGTCTATAGAAACTGTTCTAAGTTCACAAAACAAATTAGTACTACAGTACTTAAGACAGAATCTATAGCTCTTGATTTAAGTGGCTGGATTATAATCATAACAAAGAACGGGTTACTATAATTTGGCATGACTTGGTGTATGCTCTCCAGGGCTGTGCTGATATTGTTAGATGTATGGGTTCAGCATTCTAGATGAGAGGTTAGTGTCTGAATTATATAGAAAAAACATCAATTTTAAAAATAATAACTATCAAAATTTACTTTTTTTTTTTACCAATCGTAGCCAGCAGAGAAAAATAAAGATTGTAAGTGATAATGTAATACTTGTGATCATTGGTGTGAAGTGATTAATTAACAATTCCCCTGAGCCATAGTCATCGGAGATACCTAGTGTGTTACACAGGTAGCATTATGATTCTATACCCGGGGGTTCCAAGAAATTCCTCTTCCAGGTTCAAAAGCATTTTGAAAGCTCACATGGCCAGGAGGGGGCACAGCCAGGAGAAGGGACCTAGGAGTCAGAGTGCTCAGGTGAGAGGAGGAGGCAGAGCGCCCAAGTGTCCCTTAGATGGCACATTCAGAAATATAGTGAATAATACAGTGACATTTTACAGATTCTATGGGAGGGAAACAACACCTTCTGTAGAAAAATACTATGAAAACTCAGAAAGCAGACTGTGCTTTAAGCAGGTACAAAAATAAGAGTGTTTTGGAAGATCTTTACTGCTAGGAATCCTAAGTAAAATGGTTGAGGAAAAGAGAATCTCCCAAATTTGAAAGAATTAATAGTGTCCAAGTCCAAATTTAGACTTATTTCTTTTTACTCCAATCCATATGTCTCCATAAGTTTTAAGTCTTGAAAATAACTAGAGGCTCATTTATTTAAAATTTATGAATGCAGTAAAGGACAAGATCCATCATTCCAACGTTAACACCTGTTTCTTGACTCAGTTTCCTATAATTTATACCTAAATAATTTTATGAAATTTTCTAATTTCCCCTGAGATAAAATTATCATGGTAGAAAGTTTCCAAGTGATTTTTGCTAGTGTTCTCATTGCTCTTATAGAGGAACAGATTTTTGGAGATCCCTGCACTCCCATTCCAGGAGTGCTCCTCCCCTCCTGTTCTTGAATTCATGAGCCTAGTTTTCTCTTTTTAGGGGAGTGGGAGTAGGGTATCTTTGTAATGAGCTATAGAACCAGACAATATCTGCTTCTTTGAGTCCTAATTTCATGAAAAGCTATACAAAAATTTTTTATAGTAAAATTCATTTTGGGAAATTCTACATATTATACATGAGAGACTCTCAATTGTAAGACGTAACATTGCTATACCAACTTTTCAAGGGGAGCAAAGCAGCTGTACAATTTTAAATGGACAGATGAAGTGTAATCAGCATCCTGGCTTAAAATGAGAGAAAATATTCTCCATTGTTGACTTAAAAAGATACTATATAGTATTTTCTAAAATATTTACATACTAAAGCCACTGAGCAGTCCTACAGTAACAAGATCTGCTTGACTATGTTTACCCCAGGGTTTGCTTTGTTTTTATCTCCCTGAGTTACTTTATTTTGTTTTAATCTTCACCCGGGGACATGTTCTCATTGATTCCAGAGACAGAGACAGAGACAGAGACAGAGACAGAGACAGAGACATACATCTATTGATTGCCTCTGACAGGGAATCAAACCTGCAATCTTTCAGTGCATGGAACAATGCCCCACCCCACTGAGCCACACTGGCCAGGGCTACTTGAGCAGTTTTTGAAGAATGCCTATTAATTCCTATTTTCAAAATGCTATAATTTGCAGAATGCTGAAAGAACAAGTGTTCTGAGATTTTAGGAAATGCTAGCCTAATCTAATCTAGTCCTCTCAATATTAATTCTTTCCATTTAGTGAAAAAGAAATTAATGCTCCAAACAATTGTAGGCTTGTTCATATCCCCTAGTTATTAGCCAAGGCAGGAGCAGAACCAAGGGCTCTTGTTCGGGCCCAGTGATGTTTACCCTCATTGCTTTATACTTCACTCACGACCTCCCTTCATTCCTCTCACCCAGGGGGTGACACACCCTATGCTGTCACTCTTGAGGGTCAACACGCTTGGGATAGTATGGGGCTATAGGTTTCTGCTATCTACCCAGGACATGGCCAGACTTTTCACCTTGAAGAAAAACCTTGCTTCTCCTGAGCATAACACCAGGCTCTTTCTTTCCAGGTAGGCTCCCAACACTTGTATTCGTGCAATGCTTGAGGCAGACAAAAGATAAGGCACTAACACACTCTCAAATGAAGGAGTAGAAGAGGTGTGTTGGAAGACAGTGGACTGTAGAAAGCATAAAGACCAAAATAAGTTAATAGCCAATTAGGTCAGAGAGGTGTCAGGGCTTCATGAGACTTGTAACTCTCAGGATTTAATAGTATTAGGTTGTGGCCTCAGAAATAGGGACTATATACCTCAGGAGATAAGTGAGACAGGACTTAGATATTTTGTTCTTATTTGAAAGTCAACTGGTTGCCCTGGCCTGTGTGACTCAGTTGGTCAGAGTGTCATGGCCCGTATACCAAAAGGTGGTGGGTTCGATTCCTGGTCAGGGCACATAGGCAGGTTTCGAGCTCAATTCCCGGTGGGGGCATATGTGGGAGGCAACTGAACAATGTTTCTCTCTCTCTTGCTAATCAATAAAATTTTTTTAAAGTCGACTGGTTTATCTCACACAGCACATGTATTTGTAGAGAAAAGACATACACACACTGGAAACAACAAAGAATAAAACAGTAATATTAATTCAACCAAAATACCACAAAGATAACTAGAAATACGAGATCTCAAAGTAAAAGAGACACAAATTTCTGGCAAACTGTAGTTATTTTTGAAGGCCAAATAAATCTTGATAATTTTAAATCTTACTTTGCATATTCAATCACCTGAGTATTCAGAAAAATTCTAAGAATTTCAGGGCCTCTGAATTGGCGCCAGGCAATAAATCCTTGAAATTAGGCATATCAACATTTGCATGTTTGGTAACTATTATCATCATAAATATTTAAGGATTTATCTTTAATCAATAAATATAACAGTAAGTTAATAACTACTGTTATTATCTGTTAGAAGGAAAACATTCTAATTTCAAATTGCAATTTTTCTTTGTAATACTGGTTTTAAAGAATTATTTTTTGGTTATAAATATAATTTTTGCAATTTCTAGAGGCCAAATGCCTCTGAATTATTCATGTGACATTCTTACTTTGAAATGTTTCCCATGTCTGTGGTAAAATTCTGATATTATGAATGGTTCAATTGATTTCTGCCCTCCTAGAAAAAATTTAAAGGGTAGCATTTAATGACATATAAAACATAATCTCACAAACTAAACTATTATTAAATGTAATGGGAAAATGGGTCAGGTTGCTCAGCAATATAAAGTTGCATGCTTCAGACTACCTGCTTTGTTTATTAAAATTTCCTTGTCACATGCAATAGTAGTCATAAAATTTCATAACAAGTATCAGAGAAGACTGTGTTTAAACAAGACAGCCGAACTGCTATTTAGGAGTACAAAATTCTTTGAATTAGAGCAGCGATTTTCAAATATGTGCCTCAAGAATTTTTCAAATGTGCAATGTACCTGACTATTTAGTCAGGGGCACTGACACCCTTTCCCTTAGGTTGTCAAATAAAAAATGACAACAGCCAACACAACAATAGCTGTCTGGTGTGAGTGAAAAAAAATTATACCTATTGTGTGTGTGTGTGTGTGCTATGAGATGAAAAAGGTTGAAAATCGCTGGATTATTGTATGGAGTTGAATTCTTTAAAATTAAAAGTTGGATACATGGTCCAATTTTTTGATATTTTAAAAAAAATCACAAGTATGAATGAATAACACATGCTTTTAATACTTTTACCAAATACTTTTTATTTGTCTTAAAAATATTCTTACATTTGCTCTAGGTGTGACTACAACTACAAAATAGAACAATGAACACTAACTGAAGGGAAATCTAGTTTATTCTTTAACTTTGATGGATTTAGCTTATAGGGCAGCCTTATATCAGATAGAATAGTATATCTTTCACAAATGAGAAGAATGTATTGGCTGGATACTAGTAAAGCCTGTTTGCTTATTCTCTATGGATTTTCAAGTTACTGCAGGAACTTGAGCAAGTTCACACCAGCCGAATCACTCCATGATTTCCAGGGCTTGTTTTCCAACATCGATCCACTTCACCTGCACAAATTAAACAGACCTGGACATTTTTGTCTGAAAGCAGGAACTTA